AAAAACCCCTATTGCACACCTTTAATGAGTTTTTTACAGATATGGAAGGCCATGAAGACATCATTTGCATCTGTGAATCACAGAAAAACTTCCAGAAGTGGCAAAGCTTTGCAGAGGGTTCATGTGGAAGTAAAACAGTTCAGAATTCCAGTGTTGTTGGGATGAAAATGAGTCACATTAATGCAACTCTACAGCAAATACAACCTATAAAAGCATGTGCCAGCAAACACTTGCCAGTCTTTGTGAAAGGGACATGTCTTCTTGAAACACAAGTAGAGGAAAAGATGTATTCTCTAGAACTTTTGACTGTCGACCACTGTGATGAAACAAGCAAAGACTTCATCAATGAGGAAAAAGCAAACATTGAACAGCAGTTCTACCGTGGTGGGAGAGTGAACTGGTTGAATTTCTGGCTTGCTGAGCACAAGTATGTTGGAGAAGTAATTGAAAGAGATGCCTATCATGATGTTTCCAAACTTCTCAATGACACTTTGAAATGGAACGCAGATCAGACTCCAGTGAATAGCATAAACATCTACCATCACCCAGGAAGTGGTGGAAGCACTGTGGCAAGACAAGTGATATGGAACAACAGGAAAGATTTAAGGTGTGCAGTTGTGAAGCCTTCATACTCAGCTCTTCTTGTTGCGCAACATGCAGTTGAACTAAGAGAATATGAAGAAAAAGATCCACAGAGGTGTCTTCCTGTGCTGCTCCTCATTGAAGACTCAGACAAAGAATATCTAGATGATCTCAGGAATGAACTAGAGGTTGCCATTAACATCAAAAGAATCCAGTATGGAACTCTTTGTTTCATTTTGTTGAGTTGCAGACGATCCCATGATCCAGAGAGGAGATGCAAGGAATCTCCATTACAGAATGTGTCTGTCACTCACAAATTGTCTGCTGAAGAGAAGAGAAAGTTTTCAGGAAAACGAGAGGCACTTCAAGAACGATATGAGCCTCAATTCATCCTGACATTTGTTTTGATGAGTGAAGGATTCACTAAGGATTATGTTCAACAGTTTGTAAAACATTTGCTCCAAGGCATTGACCGTCAATCTGTTGTCACTCGCCTCATTCACTATGTAGCGCTGCTGAACACTTACGTTCAAAACTCTTTCATCTCTCAGTCCCATTGTGAAGCTTTGCTTGCTCTAACTATTCATATGGAAAGGTTTCACCAGCACGAGTTTGAGAAATCACTCAGCGATCAGGCTAAACTAGTCTTCTTGCACCTTAGAGATGACAAGACGCACATCGAATCAATCAGAATCATCCACCCACTCATTGCAAAGGAAATTCTCCAACAACTTTTGGGGAACCAACAGACCCAAAGCAGTTTGGCAATGGATTTGCTCTGCGAGAATGTGCTTTTTGAGCACAGATTTGGAAGGGACGAATATCTGTCATTTTTGAGAGCACTTTTCATAAGGCGATCCAGAATAAGCAAAGGTGACAAATATGATAGTTTTTTCTCTCCTCTGATTGAGCATGTGTGTGGAAAAAAGAAAAGCTCAGACAAAGCAACTGAAAACGAGCAAAGCCCAGACAAAGCAATTGAGTTGCTTAAGGAAGCATTCCAGCGTTTCCATAAAGATCCATTCTTTGCACAACAACTTGCTCGTCTTCATTATACTTATGAAAAGTTTGAAGAGGCAAAATACTGGGCAGAGACTGCAGCTAAACAGCTGCCCAACAACTCATACATACTCAACACAAAAGGGCAGGTGTACAGAAAATGGTTCCAGGCTAAATGCAAGGCTATTGACAAAGACAATGTACCAAAGACAGCCCAAAATGTAGCAGATGCTGTGGGGACTGCACTAAAAGCCCTTGAGTGTTTTCAAGACTGTGAGAAAGCCGATGACGCAGATATGGAACACCTTCACAGTTCAGGGTTTTTTTCTGAAGTTGAAGTTGGATGCAGCCTGCTCAAACTGATCTCTTCATTGGACGTGTTTGCAAACAGAGCCAGTGGTCATTCAGAGTGTATGAAGTACATGTTAACAGACTACATTCCTGTGGTAGTAGAAGATGCTTGGGAACCATTTCATGACCGGTTGAAAAAACTTCACAAGACAATGCAAGATGCCTTGGAATGGATTTCAGAAGACCTCAGCTACTTCCAGACAGACACTGGTGCAGATGAAGAAGAGACCCCTGAAAGTCCCGAGGAGAAGATAAGCCATCCATTAACATGGTTGGCAAAAAAATCTTCAGAGTATGGGAAATACTTCAGTGAAGCTTATTCTAATGCACGTCAGTCAATCCCAGCCAATCTAACTTCTTTCCAGAAACGCATGATCATCTATCACCTTGGCGGGGGTAATGTAACATCCATCCTTTCCAAGCTAACTGACCAGAGGGATGCAGTGCCTCTTTTAGAGAACATCCTTTCTCTGTACCCCAGTAATCCAATAAAGGCCAAATTTGGCCAAAGGGATATTGTCAATTACATAGTGGCCCACATTTCTCTGAACTGCCTGTCACCAGAAACTCAAAAGGTAGCTCCTCTGAAAGATCTACAGGCACTTTGTCATCAGTTCCCAACTGATAAAAGGAAATGTCTACCAAGTGCCCTGTTCTTGCTTACCTTGCTGTTCTGGCCGGAGGATCATGACACACAGCGTGAGAAAGAAACCAAATATGAGATTATGCAATCAGCAGTTGAACACCTGGAAAAAGGCTACTGGACCAAAATGAAGGACATTCCTCAGCGGAAGAGAAGGCTTTACACACATTTCTTCCTGGGCAATGGGGATGGATTGGATAAATTTGTCCACAAGAGAAAGTTTGAAAGAGTCACAAAGGTGTTCTCAGTCAGTGAGAAACGCATGAAGTGGTTTAGGGGTGAGGCATGGAAAAAGCCTGAGATTGCCAAGATGCTGAAACGTGTGTCTGGATGGACTGAAGATGGAGTGGTATATCTTGAGGGCCCTCAGAAAAAGAAGTTCAATATTCTGCCTCTTCATGTACCTTCAGTGCCTCATAGTAATGAAAACATTACGTTCTACCTGGGGTTTACGTTCAGAGGCCCTGTTGCTTGCAACATAATGGTGAAAGAGTAGTTGTTGTTTTTTTAACAATGATCCTGTCTCATGTGGCTATATGTCAGAAACATTGGACTAGTATTGGCCTTATTACCAAGAGCAAGAACAGATTGTGAAGAGATAAATTCACAACACCCAAGCCTTTTTGTGTGCCTGCAAGTTTGTCAGGTAGGCAATATATTTGTAAAAGAAGAAAACAATTTGAAGCACATGGTTTGAGTATTGTAATGTAAGTTGTTAAGATAGTTTGATATTTGTTTCTGTCTTATACGTTAAGTGTACTAAAAATAAAGCTATATATTGTTTACATATGAACATTCTCATTGTTTTTAGATCCAGTTCAGATTGACTGCAGTTTACATTTTGAATTTTCTTAAACTCCTTTATTTCCCAGGATACAATGTATAGAGTAATGAAATTCAGTGCAACTATGTTCATGGAAATTGTGTTTTAACAATAAATGTATCAAGAGCTAAATAGCCACATTTTGTACAGTTGAAGAAGAATATGTATACATATTGATGAGCAAAAGAAAAAGGTTGAGTAAAGTATCACATTTATAGAAAATGATTTTGAATATGAAAACTTGCTTGTCCTTAATATGAAACTACAAATGAAACCACTTGGACTACCTGTACTTTTATTGCTATACTTTGAATGTTAATAAATATATGTAAAACATGTCACCAAATTCAATAAACTGTTCATTAAATTTTATGTTGTCATTCCTTGAACAAACTACATGACAGTTAAGTGATAAGTGATAGTGTCTTTTCAGAAGACTTACAGAGTGGTTTATCTAGATATGTTGGCTCTAAACCATGTAGCTTTAGAAATTAGACAATGACTTGAAAACCAAAGCAAGTTGTCAAAAATGGTCCCTGTTTGATTTTAATTCTAGCTGAAAGTATTATGGAGTAGTAGACAATGTTTTGTGATTGAGACAACTTAGTCAATACAGGATTCATGCATTTGCATCACAGAAGCCTATTTTGAGATTTCATACAGATTTAATCTAAAACTGAATGAAATGAATGAATGAATCAGAATTAATTGTCTCCCAAGGTAATGGTTGGGGTTTTGGTATTGGTTGAACCTATCAGGAAATGTGTCAGTGTGTGTTCCTCTATTCAACTGGTGTATGGTCATAAGATTTTCACCTTATCAAATAGTTTAATTTAATGACACATAATATTTCTGCAATGTATATCGTTTTTAGTAGAAATAATTCAGGAATAAAATTTACACAATTTTGGTACCAAAAAAAACATTTGATACATATTTATTAAATATAAAAAATAAAAATCTGACAATTAGTGTGGCCACTAGTCTATCAGAAAACCAAACATCCCATTTAATAACATTAAAGGCATTTTTTGTTCTTGCCTATGTATTTTCGTCCCTTGATTAAAACATACAGCAGAAATTCCCGTGTAGTTTTCATTCATACACAAAAAGTAGAAGAGAAAGGAGAAGCTGCGGCAGAAGGAGTTTTGAGCACTTTTGTCCTAGTACGCTTGCCCTAGTTGGATGGTAGTCTGCGCTTTGCTTCGACCATTGACAGTATATATATATAACTTATATGTCTTCTACCTGCATCTTATTTCATTCTCGACAGCTCGTTATTGTCCCGCTGTCATTCAGCACAACTGGTTTTCTACCACTGCTCGCACATGAGGGGAATGCTAAATAATAGCACCGACACTGAACTGCTCTTTAGCTTATTGCTAACTTAGCTAACAGCTATTCAACTAACCGAGCTTCAAATGATTCAACATCCACAAAATGTAACATAACTGTGAGTGTGAATGCGTCTCCATTAGCTATATGTTCGTGATGACTCTCTGTAATAAGTACAACTCACTCTGAGAGTGAATATTTGCACCATACGAAGCACAAATCGGGTCCTGCAGAGCTCACCTGAAGTGACCTCTGCCCTGTGATGAGGTTATGGGTCTGCTGTCTAACTTTACTGTAGCTTTGCTCCTCCTCGCCTTTGCTTTGTCAACATGCTTATACATTAACAATTTATCTAACCACGAGACCAGACTGGTTAGATCAGTCTGTGCTAAGCAAAATAGAACCAAACCACATGAAAGTCTTGTTAATACTAATCCAACAAAAACACAGAACAATTCAGTGGATACAAGTGGAGTGCACCCAGAAAGCTCCCAGAAGACTGATATTTCCAGAGACATTAAATGCACCATGGCCCCTGAGAGTCGGTTTGACTGTGCCAGGGACCGGCTTCTCAGCCAGGGGGAGTGTGAACAGAGGGGATGCTGCTACGTCCCTCTACCAAAGTCTGCAGGACTACCTTGGTGCTTCTACCCCAGTTTGTACCCCGGCTACAAAATGGGTCCCTTCAGTCCCACCACGCGAGGCCGTGCTGCCAACCTGACTCGTGCCACCCCATCCTATCTCCCCAGAGATATCTCCACTTTACATCTAGAAATCATAGAAGAGACTGCAGGCTGCTTACACCTCACTGTGAGTATCCAAGACTATGTTTAAAAAGACATGATGAAGGAAATGCAGCAGGGTCCACTTGAGTTTTCTGAAGATTTGCATGTCTATAATAAGGAAAATATACCATGACCATTAAGGTTGGTAGATTTAAAAAGGTTAAGGGGGAAAACAAAGTTTCCATTCCCTGCTGTATTGTACATGCTGTGATGATGAAGAGAGTTCATTTTCCATGAAATGGCTCAAAACCCTGAAATATTATTTTGTACAGTCAAAAATTGGAATGAAATTTGCTTACTTTTCTCCAATATTATGAAGTAAATGTCTTCATCAGTGCTTTCTAATGTTGTTATAGACAATGACGGTCAGAAGATATGATTGTGAAAGTTCTAGTATTGTTGGAAAATGTATATGTAGCACTCTGAATCTGGCTTATATGTGTATAGTTGTGTGAATGACTCAATATTTAAAACTTTTATTAATTTATATGGATGAGTTCAAGAGATTAGACCCTATGCTGTTCTATACACACTGTTCATTAGCAAGTTTAAAACTGAACTGACTTGTGTTTTCTCTTAAGTTAAAGGATTCATCATCTCAGCGATATGAAGTTAAGCTCCCAGCTGGTGTTCCTCAGAACAAAGCTGATCCGACCCAAGATGTCTTGTATACCACTGAATACCAGTCTGACCCATTTGGCTTCATAGTGCGGCGAAAATCTAATGGAAGAGTGATGTGAGCAGCTCTATTCAGTTTTATATAGGATGCATTATATAGATGGCATCATGGTAATGTCTGTATATGTCCATCATTACTAGCATTGCTTAGCTTGTGCCTATTCCTTCTGTGACAGTGTTAAAGTCCCAATTTCTGTAGTGTGTTCTTTTGATTTTACATATATAATGTATATTTCTATGCCTGTAATAGTTTTCTTTGTCATGATGATCATGTAGTGCATGTTTGTTTGTTCTCTGTGTCCCTTTGGTCCAGTATGAACACCACGGTCGCTCCTCTGCTGTTTGCTGACCAGTACCTGCAGCTGTCCACCTCATTGGCCTCTTCTCTTGTGTCTGGCCTTGGGGAGCATTACACCTCCCTCCTCCTGGACCTTAACTGGACTTCTGTCACTCTCTGGAACAGAGACATGGCGCCTCATGTGAGTCTGTTGCAGTGGCTCCCAACCTCAGGGTAGGGACCCCTCAAGGAAGGTTTTACAGATAATTTACAAGTTATGCTGTATAACGGGGAAAAGCGTATTCTGTCTGTCTCTAATCTTTGTGAAATGATGAAAAGTTTAACCTCTTCCAGTCTCAAAAACCTAAATGAAACCAAATTTAAATAAAATCCGAGGAGAATCATTCCCTGATTGAACTGCTCACAATTTAAATGACATGGGGTTGCAAGAAGTCATTGGATTGCTTAAAGGCCAACAAGCCAAAATGCTTAGTAAGTAGAGACATGTCAGTGATGAACATTATGTATATTATAATATATATCATCCACTCCTTTTTAATTTATAGCATATTAAAGGTCCAGTGTGTAACATTCAGGAGGCTCCATGGGCAAAAATGGAATGTAATATTCATAGGTATATTTTCATTGGTGTATAATCAGCTGAATTTATGAATCGTTGTGTTTTCGTTACCTTAGAATGAGCCATTTTTATCTACGGACGCTGCGGGTCCTCATCAACAGAGGCCGCCATGTTTCTACAGTAGCCCAAAATGGACAAACACTGGCTGTAGAAAGAAGTTTTCACAGCCAACATAGTTTCACCTACACACTTCACAGCCTTGTCTCATTCCCAGGTCATCAAATATAGATGTCAGGGGTGTTCAGTTAGTTGCAATCTGCAACTTCACAGCTAGATACAACTAAATCCTATACACTGGTCCTTTAAAACATGTTGACACTCTCTCTACAGGCTGATGCTAACCTCTACGGCTCCCACCCATTCTACATTGTACAGGAGGAGGACGGCTTGGCACATGGAGTTTTTCTTCTCAACAGCAATGCAATCGGTACGGGGCTATCCGTTACAATAAGACACACAAAACATCCCACTGCCATTTCCTAATCTTCACTTTTCATAAAGATTTATTTTTTCCAGCATATAACAAACTTATTCCTAAATATCTATGTATGTGTATCTGTTTATGTCTCTGTAGAGGTGATGTTGCAGCCGACTCCTGCTCTCACCTTGGTGGCTATTGGAGGAATCCTGGACCTGTACGTCTTCTTGGGTCCTGACCCTGAAAGTGTTATACGGCAGTACCTTCAGGTCATTGGTATGTCTTTTCCGTGATGTCATTTAACAGCACATCTCAGGTAGCAAGAGCAATAGGCATATACACATACCAACAAGAGAAATGTGTGTTTTTTAAGTGGAAAACATGGAAAAGCACACCACCGTGTGTAATTTATATTTAGTCCTGAGGCAACCTGGAAAAGAGTGTTCTGTGTTGTCATTATCTATCACCAGGCTATCCTATGATGCCTCCCTATTGGTCGCTGGGCTTCCATCTGTGTCGCTGGGGTTACACAACCACTAATACGACCCGACATGTGGCACAACGCATGCACAATTCAAAGTTTCCCATGGTAAATGAAGTACTCACAAAACTCTATAAAATGGAAGTGATAATTAAAGCTCACATTCTTCCCACATGATTTATTATGCACAAATCTGACCATAATGAATGTGTGAAAATTTTGGATTTTTTTTCACCACCAGGATGTGCAGTGGAATGATCTGGACTATGCAGCCAAGCGCAGGGTATTCACCTTTGACCCCTGGCGATTCGGGGACCTCCCAGAGATGGTGGAGGAGTTCCACGAGAGAGGCATGAAGTACATCCTCATCCTGGTGTGACAGCTTTAACAATAAAAGAAAAACTAACTGATAATGCTGATTTTAACCAGCAGTAAATATTTGAGCATTTAATTCAAAAAGGAACAACGCATATATCAGTTGTTCAAATTGGTGACAGTATTGTGTGATGTGAGCTGAAGTTATTCATTAACAATGTTTCTCCAGTAGATGGCGGCAAACCTTTCTTAACTTGTGACGTGACTTGAGTAATGCTCTCCTGGTTTCTGACTAAGGACCCTGGGATCAGCAGCACTAGCCCCCCTGGAACTTACCCCCCCTTTGATGATGGACTGAAACGAGACGTCTTCATTAAAAATGCAACAGGACACATCCTGATAGGGGAGGTTAGACACATTTATTGCTAGGGATGTATGATTTTCTGTACAATTGTTAGGTGTGTATGTCATGCACGTTCCCAAACTGTGTATCCAGGTTTGGCCGGGCTCAACAGCCTTCCCAGACTTCACCAACCCAGAGACCAGACACTGGTGGGAGGACTGCATCACAGATTTTCATTCTAAAGTTCCTGTGGATGGTCTGTGGATTGTGAGTATTTACACACACACACACACACACATACACACACACACACACAGCGTACAGGTTATTTAGCCACCAAGAGTAACATTAAGACATCAGCTATGTCAGGTTTCCAGTTCTGAAATGTGAACATGGTTTTTAGTTGAGTTTGTTGGTGCCTTAGAATGACACAGCGAATCATTTTATCTCTGTTGTTTTTTTCCCGTGCTTCATCCAGGACATGAATGAACCAGCCAGTTTTGTGCAGGGCTCAGTGGAGGGCTGTCCTGACAGTGATCTTGAGAACCCACCCTACACCCCCAGTAAGTGTACTGGATCAGTGTCGCACCATTTAAAGACATGCAAACATTATTGGTTTTACATTTATAGTCAGTTTATTTGTTAAAGTACGTTATGTATATACTTTGAATACATAAGTTAATTCATTGCTACATAGAGACGGCGGACAAATTAAAGGAAAAACCTGAATGAATGAGTGGAGAAACATGGCAAATATCAGATGCTTTCATACAGGACACAAGGAATGGTTTGAAAAGAATGAAGATTATGTAAATCAATTGAATGCCTATGGGAGGATGGAGGGTAGTAGGTTTGTGGTTTTTCCTTTAATTTGTCACCCATCTGTGTGTTGCATAAAGTTGTAGCCTGTGTGTCTCTCTGACTGTCATACAAGCAGGAGTGGTTGGAGGCCAGTTGAACTCAGGAACTCTTTGTATGTCGGCTCAGCAGAAGCTGTCCACTCACTACAACCTGCACAACATGTATGGACTCACAGAAGCCTATGCCACGCACAGGTTAGACCATGCAGCGATCAGACGCAGTTGGCAAAAGCCATTTTATGTAATACACCATTGTAACAAAAACAAAGTCAAATCTTTTAACATCAGTTGACAAAGAAGTAATACATGTTTTTACCACATAGTCATATAGCTTAAGCTTAAAAGCTTAGCTTAGCTTAAAAGTGGATCAACAATGTGTCGCATGAGCAAAACATAGTGTATGTAGTGGTATTAAGTAGTGGTACAGCTCATGGGAATTAAAATTGCTCTTGCATGGTTGACTGTGTGTAAAATGATAGACAGACTTTCTTTGAGAACCTACCAATTTCACTATGCTGGAGCTCAATGTGACACCACAGAAGTTGTTCTTTTGTTGTTATGCTGTTTTAAATCTGGGATTGCTTAAATCTCAGTGCTCTTAGGAAGGTACGAGGGAAGAGACCCTTCGTCCTGTCTCGCTCCTCCTACCCTGGCATCGGACGCTTCTCTGGAGTGTGGACAGGGGACGTCAGGAGTGACTGGGAGCAGTTGCGATACTCCATCCCTGGTGAGGAGATGTGGTATTGTTATTATGTTCAAACATTTTCACAGTTTTTCAGTGGTGGGATATTGGCTTGAGATTGTCTCACTTGAGGGTTTTTGAAAGTTCTGTATGTGGTAGAATAAAATGTTCAACCAAACCATCAGAAAGATCTTTTTGAAGTGACCACAGATCATTTGATAGATTCAAATTGACCTTTTGCACCCCTCTCTTTCCCCCACAGCGGTGCTGCAGTTCAGCCTGTTCGGCGTGCCCCTTGTGGGGGCGGACATCTGTGGCTTTGGAGGCAACACCACCGAGGAGTTGTGTGTGCGATGGATGCAGCTTGGGGCCTTCTACCCATTTATGAGAAACCACAATGACAAGCCAAACGCTGTAAGACAGAGACGATGTTTTTTTTTTTTTTTTTGTTTTTTTTTTGTTAATGACGCAAGGGTCTGCCCTGTATGTTTTTTCCACTGCGTCTAGAGCAGTCCATCTGTTTCATGTATTATGAATAGAGGTAACTCTATATCTTCTCATTGTCTGTGTTTCTGTGTGTCTGTGTCCCACAGCCTCAAGAGCCCTATGTATTTGGGCAAAAGGCCCAGGCAGCCATGCGAAGTGTATTGAACCTTCGTTACTCCCTTCTCCCGTTCCTCTACACACTTTTCCATCATGTACACGCCACTGCTGACACTGTGGCCAGGCCTCTCTTCGTGGAGTATGTCCTTTCTTCTCTATCCTCTATTATATTACGTAGATTAAATGATTAAGACGATATCTTTCGCGTTCTATAAAATTATCTTTTTTCTATCCCGCTCAGGTTTCCTACTGACCCTAACAGTCAGACCATAGACCGACAGTTTCTGTGGGGGAGTTCACTTCTCATAAGCCCAGTCTTAGAGCAAGGGGCAGTCGAGCTGGCTGCTTACCTGCCCCCTGGCACCTGGTACAGCCTGCACAATGTGAGTCGCGCGACCCTGTATCACAGTCTCACAATACCACTCGCACATAGGAGCCTTAAGCCAAAAGTTCAATCCATTTTTGTTTGTTTACTGTTAAAGGCCACCATGTTTGAGGCTTTCAGTGATAACACATGTCTAAAGTATCTACATGGTGATCTGTGTTTTGCCCTCCAGGGTCAGCCTTTCTACAGTAAAGGTCAGTACCTGCTCCTGCCGGCCCCTCTAGACACCATCAACGTCCATGTGAGGGAGGGACACATTATCCCCCAGCAGGTGGGTGTCAATATGCAGCTCATTTTGCTGAGCCTAGCGCTTATCATTTTGGGTTCAGTAGGAGACAAATGTGGTAGAGATGAATTATTAATAAAATGTTTCAGGATGAGAAAAACCTGCAAAACATAATTGAAACAGGTGAAACAAGTACCTACTTACAATTCTAAATAGCTGAATCATGTTTGAGGCCGGTGTAAAATAAACAAGCAGTGCGCACCAGTGACTGTAACTATTAAAACAAATATTATAGTTTACTGTCATCAGTGCACTACATCTCTTAGCCTTAGTTTGATATTCAGTACAGTTCCTTGCTGATTATTAAAATTTAGGCCCAGTTTCTAGTTGATATTTTTAATTGGACATGTATTTTTCTAAAAACAATTGTTGCTTTATTTCAGCAGTAACCTCAGTTTTCAGTAAAAATGATCTGTGACATGGATGCACTCGATCAAATGTTGTTCCAGGCTGGGTTGAACTATAACAATCATAACATCCAGACCGACGTCTTAAAGCTGAAACACTTGATTTCATCATTTTCTCGTGTTTTCTTCGACCTGCCTTTTCTTGTGAAGGAGCCTGCTTTGACAACCATAGCCTCACGCAGAAACCCTTTCTTCCTGACGGTGGCACTGTCAGCAGGCGGCTGGGCCCGGGGCGACTTGTTCTGGGATGACGGAGACAGTCTTGACACCTTTGAAATGGGAAATTATTGTTACGTTATCTTCATTGCTGGACAGGTAGGGAAGAGACAAGTGATATTTGCATTGGGAAAGCTGACGAGGCTGTGTTTTGCATTTTACTGCACTACTACTACTACTACTACTACTACTACTACTTGATTCAAAAGTCCTCTACTGAATGATACAGTTAGGTTTAAATGCTTACCAATCTCTTTTTGTGATTGATTTAGACAAAAGAAACATTTCAAAATGTCTTCTTCAGTCTCAGGTGGTGAGTGATCCTGTTAGGCTTAATGGAGCCCTTGACGGTCTGGTGCTGGGAGGGCTGCAGGTGTTCGGGGTACCCTCGCCACCCCTCTATGTATTAGCCAATGGGGACAAAGTCAGGGATTTCACATACCGCAGTGACACCAAGGTGAGTTCTGTGTGACTCAGCACTACGTCACTTTACTTTAGTGTTTGTCGTCCTCAGAAAGATAATGATGACATTCTGCAGATAAGTGTGTTTGTGCCAAAAAATCAAACCGTTCTGTCTGCCGGACTCTGTGTCTGTCCCTTGCCACAGGTTTTGACAGTGACCAGCCTGGCTTTGCCCATGACGAAGGTGTTTACAGTTCAGTGGGCTCTCTGATGCACTGAGCCTTGTTACCCAATAACCTTTGGGAGCCTTTGCATTTTCACTGCTGCTGAAAACGCTATCTCAACCATCCCAGAGCTCAAGATGCACTTAACTCTTGCTCCACCTCTTTGTCCAAATCAGAAAGTAGTGCTTTGTAAGAAACAGGTTTTTAAAAATGTGATGTTATCAAACAAAGGGAACCATCATCTTGATGTATCTGTTTTTTTCTTGTTAGGTAATTTTGGCTGCTGCTAACTGCCACACTGAATAAAGATAACTGTTTATAACCTCTTTTGTACTTTTAAGATTATGTTTATATAAATCTTTGTTACGGAAGTGCATTATAAATAAAAATGGTGAAAAAAGATACACCTGTTTTTGGTGCCAGTTCTGTTTATTTCTTTGTCTGTCAGCAGTCTATCATGAAACATGATGGTTGTAATGGGTCAAGCAGATCTGAATCAAGGGGTGGATAAATTATTTTTCAGTTTTGCCACATTGCAAGATAGGTCAGTTGTAACACCAGTGTCTATGACAAAACGAACATAATTTGTTGCACATATGTTAAATGAAGTGAATGATGTGCCACCTCAAATATCACTGTAAAAACAAATGCAGCAGGTATGTAAGAAATAAGCAATCAAGGATGTGATTTTTCCAGATTAATCTGGAATTCCAGAGTTTCCAACCTGTGCAATCCAGTAATAAGCGACATTTTTCACATCCCACCATGAACGCATTACATGAAATAGCAGAGTAAACACCAGTGATACTAATTAAGGTTCTGTTCCATTCAGGTCAAACAGAGTCAGGCTGCTGCTATTGTGCATTTTGGCTCAAAAAAAGTCTCTGCTACACTAAATGGAACAGAACCTTAATTAGTATCATTGGTAACACCTGTGATTACCTTACTATTTCATGTCAAAATGGCAGCTGTGAAAAAGGTCTACTAAAGTGAATGGTATGCAGATTAGTATATCATTGAGGACTTTTGGGCTTTGCGGATGTCAGTGCTTTCTGAGTACCATTCTAGTCATTAATGTTAATGTTTGACAAAATTGTTTAGAAAAAGTGTCAACGGTTTTTAGTGGATGAGTGTGGTTATGCCCCCAGACTATAACATTTACATGTACTGCAATCATTGTACAGTATATATCGAATAATTATATATAAATGATTTATTCAATCACCAAAATTAAAACTAATATTAAATTCTGAGTCAGGATTTTTTAAAACAGGGTTCAAAGGGACAGGTAAAGCCTCCAGCAGCTGTGAGGCGGGATGCTCTGACTCCAGCTCTGGTCCTGATGATGGACCAACTGCATTCAAGCGTTTGCCAATGACCTTTAAAACGTCACTTATGATGAAAAAGGGTCAGATCTTTAAGGTAGGCCGGGTCGGATGATGACCGAGGTTAATGTAAAATATATTAGTTTATATTATAACTGCAGTCATGACCTGATTTCCCTCCGTGTTTTTAATGTGAAATCTAAAATTCCCGGTTGCTGTGATATAAAAAAGCCTTTGACATTCCGGAAGCAGCGAAATTTCGGGGGGATTGGTCTGGGAGCTCTTCAGTCAAGTAAACAACACGACCAAGTAGCTGTAGGAAGTGAGACAACTTCGGCTTACAAATTAAAACGCCAACACCGCTTTTCTCCCAAAACGAGCGTTTATTTTGAAAGCGATAACCGGAAGTGTCATTTTTTCTGCTGTGGAAAGAGCAGCAGTCAAACGTGTGGTGTCACTGTCGGAAAACACAGGGATACAAACAAGACTACAGCTCGTAACAACTGAGCTAAATCCGGGAGAAAGGCGGTGAAACGACGCCGGTGCACGCTGCTTCGGTCCCCGGCTCCCCCGCTGAGATGGATGTCCGACATGGGCTGTAGACTTCTGCGGCGGGACTGAAGGTGAGCCGCTTGTCCCCGTTTTGTCTCTACACGCTGCTTTGCTATTCATTCATTTTCTCCTGCTGGAACAGGTTGCAAGAAACGGACACATCTCTCCCGACACGAGCCAGTGCTGTAAACACTGTTGTCTCTTAGTAGTAAAAACAAACTTTAAAGTTGCCCTGCCCTGCAAACGCTGACACGGTGAAATGTAGTTACCCCCAGCTAAGGGTTTCGGCCATGGTCTCGGCAGCTGAACTGAAATATTTATGTTGTATGTAAGATGGTACAGATGATAGTCCATGCTCGGGCCACAAACACACACAGTATATTTGTATATTAGTGTGGGGCCTGTGTGTAAATAGTGCTGTGGTGGCAAAAGCCTTGTCCCATCCTCCCTCTCCTCCTGCCAGGCGGATGCTGGCTGTCAGGCTCTGTGTAGTGATGGGCTGATGGGAGCCCACCGACATTATGGCACGCCTCTGCTGCACAGGCTGCACAGGCTGCACTGTTACTATACTGAGAGGACACCTTCAGTCAGCCCCTTTTTTTTTTTTTTTTGGTAGAGTTTTAGGCACTGTATGTATGTGGGCTAACACACCTTTCACCTGAATTCACTGTATACACCAGACTGAGCAGTATAATGTAAATACCTGTACATTGCAATGCAGTTTTCCTCATTAGTACTACCTAAAATGTTTCATTCATGGAGGCTGTAGTTTGTGGGGGTCTTATATTGGATTGCACTGCTATGTAAGGTTTTTATACTTTAATCTACTTCCCTACATATGTAAAATATAGAGCTATAGATATGTGAGAGTTATTTTTTTTCACATAAACAAACAGTTTTAATAAGAATCCCTTAAATTTCTGTCCACGATATACTGAATTTGAAAATAAACTTGTCACTGCCTTCTGGTAGGCAATTTATGTCATGGCGTTGCTGTTTCTAAACTACCTAAAGCTTTCTTGTTGCTTATCAGTTGATGTTGATATCAATTTATCTGAGATAAGCTAATATCAGCCCCGCAAATGTATCCATCAGGCTCTAGTAAAGTTTTTCTAGTAAGAGTGTAGAACTGGAGAACACTTTCCACAGAACAAAAGTATGCAATCACCTTTTTTCCTTAAGGAAGTCACCAGTTAAATGTCAAACTCACTCAGTACTGCAGGAATAATGATTTTAATATCTTCAAATATTATGAATCTCCTGTTCAGATGTGTGTATTAAATTTTAAGGCACACAGTGTATTACTTTATGACACAAAGCTCCACATAACACTTGTAAGTCCTGAAAGACGAACTATGTTTTATATGCTTTAGTATGTATCTTCAGATGTAGCACAGCCTTAAAAGTCTACACACACTCCCACTGAGTCACCCGTTAAGTTTCCTCATAACTTACCCCGGCATTTGCAGAGTCTGCAAGAACCTTGTTTTTCAAGCTTCTTTGTGGCTGCTCTCCTTTCAGCAGCCCCAGGCACGTCAGTATACAGCGCAGACGTAAAGGGGGTGTTCAGTATTGGTTCCTCTATTCAAATGTCAGCGTGACAACTTAATTAATGTAGCCCAGAGGTGAGAAGCTGAGACCCTGGGAGTTTGTGGCTTCTATACTCGCAGCTAAATTTCCATGGCGTGGGTTTCAGGTTCACATTAAAAGTTATCTTTCTGGCAGGCAGTCTGTTAAAAGGTTGCAAAAAGTTTTCTGCTGGTCAGAGTGAGACTAGACTGGGTTTAAGGATATGAGATGTTTTATGAAACAATGAGAAAGGCCAGAGAGGAGAGGCAGAGTGTGAGCACACCGAAGTGTTGACAGCATAAAAGATGAATGTTCTTAAACAGCCAGCCTGAACAAGCCCTATCAAACTGACCTGAGTGGCCCTGTAATCACATACAGACCAAAATAACCACTGGTTAGTAGCACAGCGGCAGATATGTTATTGCTGTTATGAGGCTACTGGAAACAGCTTTGTGACATGTGTGGGACTCCAGCCTGTCATTATACACATTATGTTCAGATAGCATGTTGTTCAGAGTGTGTGTGTGTGTGTGTGTGTCTCGCAAGAAATTCAGAGTATGAGGACACTGTGTTTGTCTTATTTGCATTAGTCCAGTGTTACTGAAGCAGTTAGTGTTTCAAAAGCCACTAACAGTGTCCGCTAACATTCAGTAGTGGTCTAATGTTGTGGCTTTGCGGATAGAGGAGTGGTTACTTTTTTAAGCAAATATTTAAAACTACATCCTGTTTTAGATACGTTTTCAACTAAACACAACAGAAAAAATGTCTGAAAACATAAAAATCAGTGCTGTCGACGTCATTAATGACTTGTGATTATTGCTGAGATTAAATAATCCATCTTCCAATTGTTTCAGTCATTTATCAAGTAAAAAAGCCTCTAACTTGGCTCCAGATTCTTTAATGTGATGATTTTCTGATTTGGTTTGGTTTGTATTTAAATGGAATAGCTTTGGATTTTGGATGGGAAAATGCCTCCTTGTGCTCTCAGACTTTGTGATGGCCAAGTGTTCTGACATCTGATACACTAAACGTAGCAGATAAAATAACCTAGTTGCTGCCCAAGATTATTGACATGCAAGAAAAAGCAGCTCTTTTTACAAGATGCACCGTGCGAATGTTGAAACTCTGGCCAAAAAAACACCCACCTTTTTTTTAAATGTAAGCCAAACGATGGCCTACGGTAAGTCTCTCCTCCGAGGTCATGCCTGGATGTCGTGCCAGCAGACTTCCTGTCTGGGGCCTGGCATCAGGAAGTGGGGTGCCTGCTTAATCAGGCAGAGGTAAACATGCCCTCTGAGGAAAAAGGAGGTAACATTCCTCAAATGGAGCGGGGAGTACGTGTCGTTCAGCCAACGAGAAAACAACGTACATGAAGTGGGTCCACAGATACAGACACCCACGATAAAAGACATTATTAAATCAGATCTATGTGTGGTGATTGAACTGGAGCAAAAGAAAGTTTGACTTTATTTGCTTTTAGTGTTTTTTGAGCCTGAAAAAATAAGATTCCCACTGAGCCTTTTCAAAAGGAAAGCCCCTCAGCAACACACCATACTGCAACATCAAAAGAGCTGCCTTCCTTTTCGCTCGACTCGGAGTTTGTTTCATCGCATGAGAGTTTCTCTCTGAAGCAGACAAGTTCAATGTTGGTGGTGTGACACACTGATCCCAGTTCAGCGCTGATGTTGACTACATCTGTCGGCTACTGATAACTGCTTGGAACTTCACACGGATGGAGTGAAGTGTGTTTGCTCATGTCATTGTGTGTGTACACACTGGTGTGTGAGTGACTGTGTGTGTGTGTGTGTGTGTGTGTGTGTGTGTGTGTTGTTTACAGAAGGTGGGACATGTTTAATGACACACTAGTACAGTATCCACAGATCCTGTGAATGTGTTTGTGTTAGTGGGTGCAGGTGGCAGTAAAAAGAAAATGTGGCACAGGGAAATGCTGAACAAGTACAGAGTGGAGAGGGGGTTCTGCAGTAAGGACACTGCAGTAAATACAGGCATACATGTGACAGAGGAGGTGAAATGTAGGTGAGGATCTGTGCAGTCTTATAATGCCAAGGTGTGTCACGCTTTCCTTCTATCGTGTTTCCTTTTTTATCTCATGTCCTTCGCCCTTCTCTTTTCTTCCTCTCTCGCATGCCTCTTCCATCATGACCTCCCCTCCTCTGCCTAAAACTCCCTCTTTTACTCCCAAATATCCAGAGGATGGGCCCAGTGTCCCGGTGCCTGAGGAGATGTCTCTGGGTCGGCTCCTGCGGCGTGCCTCCTCCAAGGCCTCCGACCTCCTGACCTTTAACCCTGGGGCGGGGGGCACATCGTTGCGCTCGGGCCTGGACGGCGAGATCATCTTCTCCAAAAATAATGTTTGCGTGCACCCTGCAGAGCCCCTGCCGGGCTTGGCAGAGCACCACCCAGGTTAGGCCGGACTCATGTTGAAAGTATCTTTCTTGTTGTGCCTCTTTGTGTGTGAATGGAGGTGCAGCGTGAATCCCTCACCAGCTTCCCAACCGTGAACAGCTTTTTTAGTAGTGCACAGAACACAAATATACAGAAGTCAAGCTTTTTAAAGGCTCAGATATTAAAAGTGAGTCTCAGACACACAGCATGTTCACAGCTGTTGGCCAGATGAAATTCAGGCTTTTACAATTGCTACTGTCTAACTGTAAACATTCCTCCTTTTACTAAGACTGCTTTAAGATAAAGTGAAATTATTTTAATCTTTCCCTGGAACAGCACTTCCTTAATTTCTCCATCTCTTATCTCCCGTGATCATCGCCTGTGTGTGTGCGTTGCAAGATTGCCACCTCTCTGGTTTCCATCTGTGTCGTCATCTCTTTGTGTTCGTCTCTGTTTGTCTTTGGGTTGCAGCTGCCGGCTACTTAAAAAAAGTTGTTTACTCTTATGTTACCTAATTTTTCTCACTATAATTATCCCTTACTGTACTAACTGGTTTATGTTGCCCCCTGCAGGTTACCTGTGCGTGCACACGGAGAAAGATGAAAGCCTGGGCACCACTCTGATTCTGACCTGGGTGCCCAACTCCCGCATCCAGAGGCAGGATGAGGAGGCACTGCGCTACATCACGCCTGAGAGCTCCCCTGTACGCAGGAACGCACGCCGCCGAGGCCGACGGTAGGAAAGCTATCTCTTAAAATGTGTATTCTCTCTTTTAAAAAGAATGATACATCTGTTGAAGAACACTCCTTAAAGTAATGCAGTCACAGTATGAAAACCATGGCTACACTGAGATTAAAAACATAAATAAACCGAGTGTACAGCCTTACATCATTATTATACACGGTACTGATGGTGTTTAAAACCAACCGTTCCCCCTCAGACCCCACTCCCGTCACCCAGCTGCCGCGGAGGAGGAAGAGGATGAGGAGAGAAACATTACCAGCAGCACCTCCACAGAGAGCCACAACCTGGTGGTAGAGGCAGGAGCCGATCCCTCCTCGCACCCGCAGCAGCTGCCCTTGGCGGGGGAGGAGGGTGACGAGGGTTCCTGCGAGCTGTCAGACGAAGTGAGTCGAGACAGCACCATGGGCTCGGACTCGGACACTTTCTCCTCGCCTTTCTGCTTGTCCCCTGTCAGCGAGGCCCTCTGCGAGAGCAGCGGCTCCGTCTTCCTGGACAGCGAAAGCAGGTCAGTGAGAGGGTTGAATGGGCTTCCTTCGTGATCTATGTTATTATTTTTACTCAGCAGAGTTAAGTTTAGTATTTGTTTTGTCACTCAGCAGTGGGAAATCTCCACCTCAGTCATAACTGCGCCACCGTCCCACATATTATCAAAAATCATGTCATGATGTGTTGGGCACACTGGTAGCCAAATAGTTAAGGTGCATATTATATAACTGCATTGCCACAGGGGACATTTGATGCATGTCATACCAGTCTCTTTTCCCCCTAATTTCCTGTCTGCCTCTATACTGTCAGAAAAAAAAAACTTTAAAAGAACTAGAATGTTTTTATTGCTATATTTGGGTTATAGTACCCTAATAAGGGAGTCTAATACAGGATTAATTCAACTTTAATAAATGAATATGTAATTGTTTAACATAGTCAGTGTCACATCCTATTATGACTGCTGTTCCTCTTCGTCAGTCTCATGCTTTTTTCATATTATAATTCTTTTGACATCTCAAAATTTTGAGTATTTGTGAATTTACCTCTTTAATTGACTTTTTGTTACCTTGGGAGTTCCTTGAAGTACCACATTAAATCTGGTAGAGCTGTAAAGGCATGCTGTCAGCTGTTCCAGCCCTGTACTTTATGATAGCAGCACCTTCTTGCCTTGTACATTTATGTGTATTTAATATCCCAGTTATATCTCTGTTGGGTTCTGGTCTGTATAGCCCTTTGGGGTCTAATTATGCACGCTGCTGAATCTTTTACTGCCACTTCCGATTCGGTGAGGAACACCTTAACGTTCCAGTGTGTAACATTTAGGAGGATCTGTTGGCAGAAATGGAATATAATATTCGTAGGGATGTTTTCATTAGTTTGTAAGAATGACAAAAAGGGTTGTTGTGTTTTTCGTTTCCTTAGAATGACACATTTTTATCTACAGAGATTGTTCTTCAACGGAGTCTGCCATGTCGAACCACCATGTTTCTACAGTAGCCCAGAAAGGGCAAACACTGGCTCTCGATGGGGCCTTGCACGTTTTTCTCGAGTTTTGTGGCCACCACAGTTTCTCCTACATGCTTGCAAGGCTGAACTGTATTAAAAGTACTAAATGGTTGCAGTCTGCAACTTCACCACTAGATGCCACTAAATCCTACACACTGCTCCTTTAAGAGCAGAGCCTGTTCTGTCAAATAAAAAAAAAAGCATTTGTTGTAGTAGTTCCATCCTTTTAGGGTTTGTAAAACATATAAAACTGTAATTGTCAGGAATTTTGTCAAAACTGACACATGCTGCTGATTGCTGTTGAATTTAATACAGTTTAATTCTGTGTGACCTTTCTAATTGTGATGGTGGACTATTACAACAGCAGCTAGCCTTATGGATGGAAGAGGACTACATAACATGAACATAACACAACATGAAACATGATAATGACGGCTGACAGAGTTTCTGACTGCAATTTGAATTGCAATCATTTTCTTTTGAATTAACGTCCAGGCCTTTATTGGTGACCCACTTTAACCAATTAAATGCATTTTAACAAAGCATGATGAAGCTATATTGAAAAGTCAAAGAACTGTCAAATTACTTTTTATACAGGAAGGAAATACAATACCAATTGACTTCACATTCTGTAAGATTTCATCAAACATTCAAAAGTTAGATTCATCAAACAACTGCATAGTTGCTTTTGCTGGCCTAAAGGCAGTCAAATGTGATTATATTGGGAGAAAAACATGGAATCAGCCTACAAAATACTTACTGCATGTACGTGATATGTGAACTCCCCCCAAAATGCCTAGAGGACACAGCCTCAGTGCAAAGATATACAGTATAGATGGTCTCTAGTGAAGACTACACTGATGGTATGACTTGTGTGATGTATTTTCCAGACAAAGAAGGTTATTTTTGTCAAACAAATTTAAGGGATTATGGAAGAAATATAAATCCCCTGTGTGCTGTAAGATAGTGTAACGTTGTTTGTTTGTTTTAAAGCACTACAAAGACACATTTCTCAGTCTACATGCTTCTTTTATTTGATATTATGTGGAATTGAGCACACTGCCACATAGAACAGATCCACTTCTGGCTGCACCCCACTCTGTGGACAGGATGTTTAATTGCTTCTACGCTTCCAGACAGAAAATGTCAACAGCTTTCATCTGAGAAACCTTGACTGACGTGCAATAGTAGCAGTGACCCAGATGGCTGTTTGTTCCTTTTTCAGTTACTCTAAGCTGCCACAAGGTGGAGCCAAAAAGAAAAGAATTGATTGCATGAGGGATGGATTTCACTTTGAGGCCACATGGTGGCTTACTGCACTACAACTGAATGTCCCCTGGGAGTGACAGCAGGTAGATGACTTCAGTAGGAGGCATGAAACATTATTAGAGTTCAAGATGGGTCCACTCACATAAAGCAGCTCTTAATCTAAATGTTTTATAATATCACAGATGGCCCGAAATAAGTCCCCAAATCCCACAAACCCCGAAACCTCAGTGCTTCCAGAGACTGTTCTCTAATCAAGCGAGCCATCTGGACAGCGATTGTGTTGCTGTTCGGACCTCACGGCCGTTTGACTTTATGATTCCCTCCGTGGTTGTTTCCTCACGCAGCTATTTGGCCTGACATGTTGCCCAGAATGTGTGAGTGTGTGTCAAGGAGAAAGAGAGAGAGAAAACGAGTCAGTGTGGGTTTAAGCCTTTTTTTTAACCACTCTCAGACCCCAGTTTTCTGTAAGTGCAGTCAGTGTGTGACTTGGCAGCGGTCTCTGCTTCACAGCTTCTAACCTTTACTCTGTCCTTCTCTTCCTCTGCGCCCTCTGTGCTCCACTCGCTGTTAGTGTCTCTCTGGCAGTCGTATCTATCCTCTCTTTTGCCTGTTTTTCCCTTCTTCTCTTGGATTCTCTTCTAGCCCCACATCCATCTATTCCTTCCACTGTATTTTGCATCTTTTCTTCTTGCTCATTCTCTCTGTTTTTCTCAATATTGTTTCTTTTGGTGTTGCCCACCTCTCAAATATCTTGCCCCCCTTCCCCTTCCCTTACTAAAGTCTGTGTGAAGCCCTTTGATTCTCAGTGCTCCCGGGGTTGTTGTGCTGGGCTGAATGTCAGCTCTCCGGATTAGAGCACTGAAGAGAGCGGAGCAGCAGCCAAAACCCTGGAACCCACTCAATCTCTCTTTCTCTCTCTCTTGCTTTAATTGACACTGTTAAGGGGCCAGGAACTGGAAACATGTCACTTGGAATCATTCAGAGAGAAAGAACCGCGTATGGGAGAGCGAGAGTGGATGAAAAGGGGGGAGAAAGAGGAGAGTGGTGGGAGAGAAATCCACAGCAATCTCTGTCAAGCTTCTTAACAAGTTTCTTTCAAGTTTTAACAGTAGTTTATGAAACCACTGGTGACTGTCAGTGTGTACTGGCTTTACTTGCAGGATTTTAACATGTGATTATATCTCAGATAAGTGGTTTCCAAAGTTCTTGGCTTGTTGCACCTTTTTAAAATGAAGCAGTTTCTTCTTCCAACCACTTATCATTGGTTACATACAGTTTTTTTCCTGTAATTTCTGTATTGATTTGATTTTTATAGGCTTGAAGAAGGCAAAAGAAATGAGTAAACATATTAACTTTATGTAGCAGAAAAATGTTGTGTATCCTGTTATAGTGTCAAACATTTGTTGGCCAGTAGAGTTAATGTGGTGGTGGGTGGGGGGGGTTGACACAGATCAAGAGAAAAAAGCCTTTGATGTCAAAGGAAAACGGATCTGTACAAAGTGTCGTAAATGAATGACACCCCTCCATTTAATAGAAAACACATAAATCATCACTGGTACAGCCAATTGGTCACACCTTAAATCACATATTTTAATGCAGGTATCTGGAATCAATTATAATAATCAGTGATAAGAATCAATAATAAAGGACAAAAAGTGGGGGTGCATCATATTTCACTGTAATAATCTTTAGACCCCTCATATTTATCTTTATCAATCTATTTTAAGGGTCCTGTCCTCCCTTCCTATGAGGCCTAGTCAGTCCTGGAAAAGAATACACCTGACTTGAATGTGTGCCGTTTGGGTTCTGGGATTATTAGAATATCGCATGATCAATAAATAAGTCAAATGTCAGATGTTTTTCTCCTTCATCCGAAATCCGAACTGTAGTGACCACTTTCCAGTGTGCGCCTGCAGAGCCCACACCACCCCCTTCACCCTCCCTCATCTCTCTGTTTCCCCCACCAGGGATTAGCTGAAGGGCCTGGGAGTCCCTGGAGGCCTGTAGCACTTGGTCCTGGTTCTCAGGGTGACCTGGCAGCACCTTCCCCAAGGGCATGAGTATGTGGAGAGAGGTGTTATGAAGGGCCTCGGGGCAGTTTGATCTGGTGGGACATGCTGGTTGCAGCAGCCTGACTCCATCAAAACAGCTTGTTTACATAATGTACTCTCTGTACAGTTTATGGCTTGGCTGCTGCCTACAGTACACGAACAGAATCGGGCTGTTGACACTGACAGACGTTGTTAATCAGTCATTGAGTTTCCGCTTGGATGCAACACAGTGGACGATCCTTGCTATTGTGCCAAGAATCATGTGCTTTCTCGCCACGTTTTCCATGGTTTTTGCACTTTTATATCTTTGCGGAAAAATATGCAAAAACGTTTTTTTGCACATGGGCTTAAAAGCATGCAAGAAGAGTGAAGGAAATGTCTGCAGTAAATGGACTCATAGGCCTTGTTAACACCCTGGGCTTGACAGTCATTGGAGTTATGAAAAAGCGAGTACAGTAGTCTTTTTTTAAAGGAGCTCCTCCATATTTCAGATTGCTGAACTCCCTCTCCAGAGCCCTCTGTGCCTCTCTCCCAGTCTCCTTGTATTCCACAGTCTGGTTTGTGGCGTGATACATGAGACAGAGAGCAGTAAATCACTAGATAGGAGAGGAAACTGTGCAGCTTGGATTGATCAGCCTTGTTATTTTCCCATCTGCTAACGGGGAAATGATTAGCCAGACATGATTGATTCAGGGTGTAATAGATTAGACTTGGCCTCCCTCCCTCATTTTACCAACATGCCACTTGTTTTAACCTGAGAATATGTTTATGTGGGTTAAAAGATGTGTCATTGTACAGAAGGATACTTTTAAACACCCATTGACTCAAAGCAGAGGGAGAAACAGTTCCAGGATTTATCTATAATAATAATAATAATAATAATAATGCTAATAATAATAATAATATAATAAACTACATTTTCTAATTGAATGACTTCTGGTTTTCATTTCCTAAATAGCCAATAAGTGCATTTGATAGCAAGTAGTAAGCAAATAACTTCATTTAGACGTCCACTTCTCAAATGTCAGCGGGTTTAATGCATTTCTGTGTTGGTCTGTTTCTCAGCATTAGCATGTCTTGAGACGTGTTTGAGAGTGCATTATGGTCATTAGCTATGGTCCATTCACTGTGTGTGTGTGTGTGTGTGTGTGTGTGTGTGTGTGTGTGTGTGTGTGTGTGTGTGTGTGTGTGTGTGTGTGTGTGTGTGTGTGTGTGTGTGTGTGTGTGTGTCTGTGTGTGTGTCTGTGTGAAAGAGAAGAGAGCAAGACATTGAACATGCCAGCTAGTGATTCTAATAATTAAAGAACTTGTGTGTGTTTGGATTCATATTTGTGTTGGCCACATATACAGTTAATCTGTTTTCTGTGTTCTGCGCTTGTGTATGTGTGTTTCTCTGTACATATATATGTAGTGTGTCTTTTCCCGCAGCAGAGGAACCCTCAGCTCAGGTTTCAGTGCCGGGAACAACATGCTGGCCATGGGGGGAATGACAGGGGAAATTGGACGGCAGACAGTGTGATTTGTGTGTGTACAGATTTCCTTGTGTGTGTGTGTGTGTGTGTGTGTGTGTGTGTGTGTCCTCAGAAGCCTCCATGCATTCCTCCCATTCTCAGCCTTTTTGCTGAACCGTATTGAGACGCAAAACAACAGGGTAGAACTGAGCTCTGGATAAGCCTATATGTTTGCGCAGTTATGACTGAGCCAAATGCCGCTGGCCTCTGTCTACACGATGTTTATTATTAATGTTTCACATAGAAGAATGCCACAATGAAGGAGAAGTTTTTGTGCAGTAGGGATAAACCCTGAAGTCTCATTCCTTTTAATTTCCTGGATAACATTACTCACTTCCCTTTAGCACAATCAAGTTCCAAATTAAATTATAATTCATAGAAATGTTGGGGCTTTTTGTTTTGTTTTTTTTACCAGGGAGCTGTGCGAGGAGTCTATGACCCACTCCGCAAGCTCGGCTTCGAGTTTGGACAGCCACGCACCCTCTGAGAGCAGCGGCCAGTCACAGGGCGCGCGGTGGGAGGAGCAGCAAAAGGTGCTGGCTCTGGAGCAGTTGTGTGGCGTTTTCAGGGTGGACTTGGGTCACATGAGGTCGCTGAGACTCTTCTTCAGGTCAGCCAGGAGTCATGAGTGCAATGTGTCACAATGTGTTGTTTCAGGACAGGTGTCGGTTTGTTATGATCATTTAAAAAAAAGTAGTAGAGTAGATACAATTAGAAATAAGTAAGGAATAAAAAATGATTTAACACATTCCTTGAAATTTGTTATTAAATTTGTCTTTATCATTCTCTGTTGTGCTGTTGCAGCGATGAGGCGTGTACCAGTGGCCAGCTGGTGATAGCCAGCAGAGAGAGCCAATATAAAATTCTCCACTTCCATCATGCTGGCCTGGACAAGCTGGCTGAGGTCTTCCAACAGTGGAAGTGCTGCAGGGAAACTCAGCTTAAAGACCAGGTCGGGTTACAGTCCAAAAATGCCTGTTTGGCCTCAAATTTTATTGAGAAATGAAGGAATATTTCAGCTTTTTGTCCTGAGTTTTCTATTCACATTTCCACTCTTTCCGTCAGGTGTCAGTTGAGAAATCCTGCATGCAGTTTTCCATCCAGAGGCCCACCCTGCCGTCAGCTGAGACCCACCCAGAGGAGAAGCTTTATCGGCGGCTGGACGTCACCACCTGGCTGCGTCACCTCAACCACAGTGGGCAGGTTGAGGAAGAGTATAAGCTACGCAAGGTATTGTCTGTGTGTGTGAATGTTTTTTACAATCCTGTAGGGGTCTACACATCAGCCTCACCTGCTGCTGTCTATAAAGTCACATTTTCTTTCCTCTGAATCAGTGGAAAGTCATTTTGAAAGTCATCCCCATTGTGTATAGCTTTCAGTTTCAATCTGCATCCCCAGTCTGTAAATAATGGGAGGGTTGGTCTTGGCCAATGTCCCCCTGTGAGTCATTTCAGTATTCTGTGTTTGACTCAACTGAAGTTTTACCATCTTACTGAAATGACTCACTGGCAGTTAGATTGTGACCAAGACACTTCCTTAGTAAATACTCAAATGCAGGAACAGAAGATCACTGTTTTTGCTGGACATGCACATTACACAGGGTTTAAGTTTCGTTTTTGCAGCATTTTGCACTCACATCAACTGTAGTTCGGGGGGGGGTTGAGTGTAGTCTGTCCCATCTACACTACTGTCTGCATACAGTTGGATATGTTCTCATCCATTAGAGTCCTTTGCTGTGGTGCCCCCTGTTTGCCCTTTGTGCTCACTCTGTTTGTTCACTCTCTGCCAGGCCATCTTCTTCGGTGGCATTGATCCATCCATCCGTGGCGAGGTGTGGCCCTTCCTGTTGCACTACTACAGCTATGACTCCACCTCTCAGGAGCGGGAGGCCTGGAGGCTGCAAAAACGTACTGACTATCATGACATCCAGCAGAGGAGGTGGGGAACAGGGAAAGAAATACATATGTGTGTTATATAGAAATATGGGGGATATTTTCTGGCTGCTGATAACGTATAAAAAGAACATTTTTCTAAGGTTTATTTGACAGGGAAATCAATTAGATAAGACACAGCAGTATTCTTGACACTGTTAAACAGCAGGTAAACTGACACATGGCTGCAGTATCGGCTGCCAAACGCTCAGACAGTCAAACATTAAACCATATGTGAGTCTGCCGTGGCTTCTCTTCGCAGCCGCTGCACAATCAATAGGCACAATCAGGGAAGTGTTAAAGGGAGGTGCCGGGTGTGAAATAAAAGGTCTCTGGAGAAAAAACATGTCAGTGCTTATCAGATAATACTCATCAGAAGGAGAGGAAAAAACAACTCACACACACACACACACACACACACACACACACACACACGTGAGCACATCCCTGAGTCTATTGTCTTCACCCCACCAACCAAAAGGTTGAGTGTGCACATATTTTCACACATTGAGCTGCTCTGTCTATGGTGAATATGATAATTGGACAGGTTTCATCTGTATGGCCTATTAACATTTTGAAGTCGGGTAATTAGAGCCCTTGTTCTGACTCTGATGTGGATTCCTTTAAAGACCGTTTGACTAGAGCAGCCTCCAGGGCCAGTAGTTGATCATTAGGAGAAAGGATACATGTCCAGGGTTTTGGTCCTCATCTCCTAACCATGTGTCCTTCCCTCAGCTGGGATAACTAAGCAGCTGCAAGTGGAAGCGATGCAGCTGTAACGAGTAAAAACACTTAGGTCAACAGGCAGGGAGTGAACATTTAGGATATTGTCATTATGGAAAAAATTCTACAGAATCACCAAATGGCAGACTTTAGATGACCTTTCTTTTTTCTTTTTTAAAAAAAGATTTAATGTATTTATTGGTTTTAATTTTTTCAATAATAAATAACCAGGTAGAGTTTCCAGGTAATGCATGACACGCCGCATGCTTCTAATAAGAGAATTTACTCTCTGGCTGGCTTGGAGAAGAAGTGCTTGTGTTTCATTTTTCATGCACCAGTAGCACTTTTTCGGTTTAGATTTGTGCAAGAAAAGAGGAAGTTTGCTCTGTCAGTAACAATTCAGTTTCCATCATCATATACATTTTCTGTTGATCGACTAATTGCTTGATTGTACAAATCTGATTCATGAGATTATTCACATGGCTGACCATGTGAATAATCTGGTGTTTATTAGTGAGTTTTACCTGGATCTTATTGTATCATTCTTTGTACTTTTTGCCATTTTGTGTGTATTTCTTTGTTGGGATTTGTGTAGGAAAAGGCATTGCAAATTAGCAAATTAGTCTGTAAATAAAAGAAAATGAATAAAAATATACCATTAGTCCAGGGCAGTGGTACGGCGATGTTCCTGTAATATGTAATATTCCTATGTTAATTTTATCACACCGGCCTCAGAAATATAAAGTGATGAAAACCTGTACTGAACTCCTGAGTAGCATCCGAGAGAGAGAGAGACCAACGACACAAACACTCAGCACTGAAACTAAACAGTTGCGTGGCGTTGCATCAGGTGTGCACTCATTATTCCTGGTGGGGCTACATGGAAAACAAACAGTGTTAATTAAATCCCCTCTGCTTGTTAGGACTTGAGTACACTAGTACCATACACAGAGTACATTGCTAATATGGTCCTTAACATTTAGAGGGATAGATGGGGGTTTTATGCTTGTGGTATTATCCTCAGTGGAGCTCTTACGGGTGAGATACCCCTTCAGTCCACTGCCTGCCCACCCCCGCATTTCTTAGCTCATTTGCAGATAACCATTCATGTTTTACACCAGAGTAACATTTGAGGTAAAGTTTATTTGATGCTATTATTATTATTATTTTTTTTTAATTGTAATTACCTTAATTTCCTTAGAGATTTTGCAGTAAAAACTTTCCTAAGTTTCTGTCTTGTTAAATTGTCACAACTTTGGAAACTTTGAGGGGTTCTCAGAGAGCGCAGACCTCCACCAAAACCAATAATCCAGTCTCCTATGATACGCAAATCTGCAAGCGCAACCACTATATATGTCTGTATTACAATTGCTCTATTTTGCAGTGTTAACAAAAGTTTAATTATTTGTGTATCCACCCTGTAATTGGGATCAACTCCAAAATGTAATGGGTTCTACCTTGGCCAATGCTACACTGAGAATCAGGCCAGTATTTTTTCCGTAATCCTACTGACAGATAAACAAACAATCAGCACCAAAAACATAACCTCCTGGGCGGAGGTCACTTGTCTTAATAAAGCGGCAGCAACATTCAGTTTTGCTTTTTTGTATCTAACTTTTCCATTTCCTCCTGCTTTTTGTGTGTATTGTTCAGATTGTCCATGAGCCCGGAAGAGCACAGCGAGTTTTGGAGAAAGGTCCAGTTCACAGTGGATAAAGACGTGGTGAGAACAGACCGCAGCAACCACTTCTTCAGAGGAGAGAACAACCCCAATGTGGAGATCATGAGGTCAGACCACAATCACTCTTCATTTTCCCCCTTCATCTTTTAATTATTTTGTTCCTCCCCCGATCTCTATCTCTGTCCTCTCCTTCTCTCACCTTCTCTCAATCCATCGTTATCATTCCCATTCCTCAGCCCAACGCACAGGCGTACCTATTCATTTCATATTCTGAACCCTGGGGGAGCCGCAAATGAGTTTCATGCTTTATTGACTCTGACTAAGCCGTCTGAGCACTTTTGATGCATACTCAGAGCTAATGGCTTTCTAAACGAGGAGCACGAGGATTTAAATAGCATATTAGTTTAGTGACTCTCATCGAGGCTCCTGGTGTTTGTCTAGGTATTATGATGTTTCTGGGGCAGGGTGATACCAGCGCTGCACATGTCCACATGGAGAGCACTTATCTCATGCTTCCTCAGATATCTTACATCTATTGTACTGATGTGTCACAGATAATTTTGTCTGGCACATTCAAGATACTACTCTTCTTGTGATTTTCCAAACACAAAACTACTTCAAAGTCTGCTTCCCTGTCTTAGTTTTTTTTTCCAAATGATCATTTTTTTCTTTTTAAAAATATCACACTAATAACAATAAAAATGTCCTCAAGATTTTCCCTTTGTTTATACAAGCCTTACTAATGCATGAGAGCTGCCAGGAAGTTTACTTCAAAGTAGTATCTATATACAGAAAAAATGGGGGAAAAACAAGAAAGATCATTAATTAGCTCCCTGGTTACCAGAGGAGTTGGCATAGCAACCGCTAAAGCAGCACTTGTCATGTTTTTTTCTGGGCATTACCAGCAATGCTGAAACACATGTTGGATCATTCAGTGTGAGTGTTTGGGTGGGACCATTCTGTTCAGTGGTTTGGCCGGGCTGCTGCAGGGTCGTGAACTTCTCTTTATTAGAGACTAAAAAAAACAAACAAAAAAAAGCAAAAATGTAAGTGTTTATGAGAGTCGCTAAATTGTGTTAGATATTCTTTTTTTTTTTGCTGAGATGGTACAACTGTGGCTCTTCTTGCCGTAGGCGGATTCTGCTCAACTATGCAGTGTTTAATCCTGACATGGGCTACTGCCAGGGCATGTCTGACCTGGTGGCCCCACTGCTCACTGAGATCCAGGATGAAAGCGACACCTTCTGGTGCTTCGTCGGCCTCATGGAGAACACCATCTTCATCAGCTCACCACGTGATGAAGACATGGAGAGGCAGCTGGTAGGATGTTTCTGTGTGTGTGCCTTTGAGTTAGGCAAAATGTCAGGTTGTAGCATAGAACTAGAAAAAAGATGGAATTATGCTTCTGTAGAGATGTGGACCCGTGTGTTAAGTGACTTGATTGGTTGATCCAACATCCAGTTTGGAGATTATCTCTATTTTTTTGGGCATACATTTCAGAATAGTAGTACTGCCACAAGTGCTCTTCTAGCAGAGCAGTAGAAATTCCCCTTCAAGGCACTTATTATCATTGCCCATCTTGTTATTGTCCATTTATGATAATGAATGCAAATTCTTTCTCGTGTCTTTAACAGATACAGTTACACGTTCACTGGGGGATGAATTAATTTCGATTTCCTGATTTCGTGTATGTTTTCTCTTCATTGTGGTTTGATAACTGTGACTCATCTGCTACCTTGTGAATCCATATAATATATAAAAGAAACGCACACACAAACGTGTCAGAACACCTGTGTTATTTTGCTTATGTGCAGCCCGGATAGGCTTAATTCCAGCCTAAGAATACTAAAATACCACTAGAAAATGTTGTGTTTGTAAGACAGTGTGTGCCCTCTCTGACCTGCCCCCAGATGTACCTGCGGGAGCTGCTGCGTCTCATGCTGCCCCGCTTCCACCAGCACCTGACCAGGCTGGGGGAGGACGGCCTGCAGCTGCTCTTCTGCCACCGCTGGATCCTGCTCTGCTTCAAACGAGAGTTCCCCGACACCGAGGCTCTGCGCATGTGGGAGGCCTGCTGGGCACACTACCAGGTCAGGGCAAAGTCCGAACGATTCCTTTGCATACACAAGTTTGTAAGAAAAACTTTACATAAATGAGCGGACAGATGCGTTGGCCGGTTTCACAGCGGCACCAAATTTTGGATGATTTTTCAGTGCGCAGATAACATTGTCTGCAATAAAAAGATTCCACGTTATTCCTTTAAATCCTGTCACCACCGACTATTGTAATCCTCTAAGTTCCATTTAACATGTCACATTACTTCTTGGTTTTGGAGGGGTTTAATGGTTTAATTCAACACGGATTAGAGAGTGTTTCATTAAAGATTCAACATATAAAATCCCACATTTTGATTTACTTTAAATTGATACATTTCAATACTTCCTAAAAGCATAACAGCTGTATAGATGTATATTAAAAACTGCTGTAGATATGTGTATATATACATATAGTGTATTTATGCAGTGCATTATATTCTATATATTTATATCTGAAGGATGGAAGCTAAAGCAGAGTCTTTAGTATAAATCCCCCCTCTGTCTTGAATCAGAAAATTTGTGTCTCTGTTGTGCTCACTGCCATGACACAGAGCTTAACACCTCCTCTCACTGAGGCAGAGTCAAATATCAGTCTTTCTGCTTCATGCCTTCTGTTCACACTCACTGCTAGATGTTCTGAAGTTGAGCTACAGGTGCCGATGGAGGAGATAGCGGAGTGAAACCTCGGTTTAGACAGTTGAATATCACATGGGCCAGAAGGAAGAATTTCTGATTGATATCTGATTTTTCTGTGAAAAGGGAGGCATCAAATATTATTGCCATATATCACAATAGATTGTTCTTGCTGGCTTTTGTCTTTTAGAATAATTAGATTTACATACACTTGGATGTAATAAACAACATTACTCCCCACATACGCACAAAACCACAGTACAAAAAGTCATCCAAGTGTGAAACTTTCACTTGCTTTTTCAAACTAAGCCCTTAATTCACTTTGCATCTTTAAGCTCAAATGTACAAATACTAGACACTTATAATTAGCATTTTTCTTGAACTGGACAAAAAAATGTTTTGTGCATATCTGCTCTTTATCTCTCATTGCTCTCTAGTAAGCCTCAAAACTAAATACAGAGATCTGAGACCACATTGTCATTGCATTTTGGGATGCTAATGTATGTCTTTCAGTTCCCAAAGAACTTGGAGTTATTCCTGCCTTTGTCTTCCAGTATTGACCTAACCCTCTTTCCCTCTCTTCATAGACGGACTACTTCCACCTGTTCCTGTGTGTGGCCATCATTGTTCTCTACGGGGAGGATGTGACGGAACAGCAGCTCGCCACTGACCAAATGTTGCTCCACTTCAGCAACCTCTCCATGCACATGAATGGAGAACTTGTGCTACGCAAGGTATCACAGTCACGATTGTGTTTGCATGGCTCCATTTAGTTACTCTGCACCTGTGTACATGGGTATCCATTAATCTCAGAATATAGTCTGTGGTTAATGAGCACACTCAACAATTCCTCCATCGACTGCTGCATTACATTTAATTCAAACTAGTGTGTTTGCATCAAGCAGCCCTCCCCAATGCTGCAGCAAAGCAGCTCTGGTATACTGTAACCTACCCACAGAGGCCTTGAGCTACTAAATGGGATGCTGCCATGCCATGCAGAGGATTTATGATCTGCATCCCTGCTACTGAGTCTTTGCCTATGTCCTCATGTTTATGGATGCTGTGTTAGTGCTGCTGCAACCACAGGCAGCGAGTTCATGTTAGCATGCAGCTGGTGTTACTCCTTTTGTTGTTGCCTGAGATTTTGCACCCAGAGCAGGCACGCCGGCATTTTAGCTTTAGGTAACGCACCACAATGCTGACCTTGACGTTGTTTTGTTATATTTTAGCTGGGAATCAAGGGTATTGATTTATTTTAATGTTTTAAGGCACAATGTTTGATATCTTCAATATATTTTAGTTCATCTTTTCTTCCTGTTCCACCAGGCCCGCAGCCTACTCTACCAGTTCCGCCTCCTCCCCAGAATCCCATGCAGCCTACATGACCTCTGTAAACTGTGTGGTCCGGGGATGTGGGACAGCCGCTACATCCCCACTGTGGAGTGTTCTGGTGAACATCCAGACTCGCAGAGCTGCCCCTATGGAGGCACCTCCACCCCCCAGCCCTGCTCTCCCTCCCCGTCATCCACGCCCTCGCCCTCACCAAACCCCACCCCCACGCCTCCGTTAGAAGGGAAGAAAGGCTCCAAAACCCGGGATATTTTCACCTTCCGGAAACAGTCATGAGGTGGAGGCGATGGGGAGCTTTGCTGGTCTTGGCTCATGTTAGTACAGCGAAGGTTTGGATCCATCTGCTGGATTCCTGACCTATTTGTTTTTTTTTTCCACAGTCCCTGCTTCTAGTTTCACTATTACTGAAGATTTTTGTCACTTGATCCTTTCATGTGGTGCAGCGTGGAACACTGCCTTACCAGAATGTTATTTGCAACGTTCAGCATCACATGAATCTGCAATTAAGAGGGTTTTGATGCCAGATAAGCCGTAAGACAAGGGGCTGCTTTCCTCTTGTAGCAAAATGGACAATCACCAGGCATTATGTAGGTCCGGGGCTACTTCAGGTTCGAGTCTGCTGCTGGCTTGGCATACTTCCATGGGCTTTATGGGCAGGGGTCACATCAGGGTCTGAGGCACCAGCCAGAATTCGTGCAGAATCTGACCACGGGTCAAATGAAACTGGAGATTCATTCACAAGACTTGAACTTGAAAAAAAAAAAATGTTCCTGTGTTCTCACAACGGAATATTTGTGTGAATATCAAATTATATGTGCATATCTCAAGTCTGAGCAGGACATTTTTAACATGAAATCCAAACCCTGTGCTAACAAAGAAGGGATAACCTACAAATGGGATTATAACAAACTGACGGTACTTTTAATTTTAGTTTCATTTCATTTTCAAACAAGTGAATGTTTGCGTTTATATCAGCAAAGTTACAAATATTTAGCAATATTATATCCTTGCATGAGCGATTCTTGACATTATAGAGGGCACAACATGTTTGTTGAAGAACACTCAAGCCCAAAACAGAGGTAAGAATGTGTTTACATGACAAACACATCATGATAGGGCTGCACATATTTCCTCATCAGATTGTTGTAAGGAACATTCTCATAATTTCTCTCTGTTAAAATGTTGTTTCCCGACAGGCAGGAGGAAGCTAGGCGCATGTTTCCTTCTGATAAAGTCCGGCGCAGATGTTCATTTTACCTGTCGATCAAGAGGAGCTTAACCATTTACACATTACCATTATAATATATAGTATGAGTTTCCTGTCTGAGGTAGTGGATGGATATGACAGCGCTGTCTGCCAAAGAAAGCATAGATCATGGTTTTACCCTGACAGAGAAATTGAAGGCCTTGTGTTTTACTTGAAATTTTTGTCTTCTGTGTCGAACCATGTTTAGACAGGGTTGTGAAAAATCGTCAGCATGGTGTTTTTGTTTTTTTTTCCTCCTCACTTTCACCTTTTAAAATGAATGACAAACGCACTATCAACACTAAGAATCAGTCCACATGAATGTATCTGGGTTTTGTTTTTTTTATTCTTCTCACTCAACAGTGTGAAACTCTTCGGTGTGCGTGGGTGTGTGTATAAACTGGAGTGACCTCGAAACATCTGGTAATGAGTTGGACTACAGCCGTAGAAGCCCCCTCCCACTACCAGTCTCTTTAATTATAGCAGTCATCACAGGGGAGAACCTGGGAGAAGAAAAAAGAAAGAAAAGCTGGTTGTTCTGGGACTCGTCAGGAAAAAAAAAGACAAGAGAGATTGAGAGAAAAGGGACGATTTAGGCTTCGTACAGGGATATATCGTGATCTCTTGCCTCTGTGATTTGCAAGTCCCAGATGTAAAGATTGTCTCCACTCGGAGGCTTTTCCCTGAGAGCTTTTGAGTGACACTCCTGGGGGGTGAAAACATCTTCAAATTGCTGCTAAAATGTAACATTAAGACCTTCAATCAGCCCCCTCCTCTCTGTCTCTCTCTGTCTCTCTCTCTCGCTCTCTTTCTCTTGTGGTCTCTTGCTCTCTCACTCCCTCAGCAAGCAGTCTCTGCAAATGACATTCATTCATCTGCAATGCTCTTTTTCCATATTAGATATCATGTGCAGCTGCGTGCTGGAAATGCCCGCAGAGTTTTGAAGATGGGACGGCTGCGTTGAAATGAGCAAAATCTAGAGATGCACGATGGGGAAAAAATAATCAAACGATGTGTGTGCGTGTGCGTGTGTGTGTGTGCGTGTGTGCGTGTGTGTGCGTGCCCTTTATGAACTCATGAATTTTATTAAAATCCTCATTGAAATCACATTGTCTGCACAGGCACTGTAAGTCACAAGCCTAATTAATGACTACTCCTATTTAAAGGGGTTTTTGATCAGTCGTCACTGAATGTACAATGTTGCTGTTAAGCTCCATGATATGCTGATGTATTACTGTACACACTCAGAAAAAGAGCCTATTCTTGGTATTAATAAAAACACAGTCGTACTTAAAAGAAACATCTGTAGAAAATGGTTTACTGAACAATAAAATGTACCAAGCATACAATTTATAAATGCCTTTCTGACAATAAATGACTTGTGATTGTAATCTGATACCAAGTAAAAACAATGCTGGGATTTACAAAACCTCCACCGATACTTTTCATCATTAAACACAAGTAATAGCATAACATCTGTGTATTGTTTTGTTTAAGTAAACACAAATATCAGGATAATATGCTTATTATCAAAATAAAATGTAGTGGTATATGGTTAGGTAGATTTTAATGTAACTGAAATATGCAGAAGCAAAGATTAATGGAGGTGCTTATAGCGTCAGTGCATTTTTGTTTGCTGCCAATAATACAATTATAATAATACTTCCACACTGTAGAAATACAATATATTTTAAGAGGCTTTTGGAGACATCAGTTTACTGATTGCATCCATTAAAAAAAGCAGGAAACAACACATCAATTCCAGTGTCTTAAGACAGTGATGCCAGTAAATACAAACCTTCTCTATTAATTGGAAAATAGAGCATCAAGACTTGATCTGGTGGCACTTTTTAGAGCTGTTTGAGATATTCCCTGTCAGTAATATGTCAAATGTCAGACCAGGACATTTTTCTATAATTCACACAATATGGAGGAGCTGCACATAAGGAGACATGTAAATTAAATCCCCAAAACGTACCTATAGCTCAAATTGTTCACTGGCCTTTCTTGTGTTTGCACCACAGTTCTTTGAGCTAAAACTGGCTCTTTTATAAATTCTCCTTTGCAGGGCATTGTGGGCACATTTTTGTAATTGGCATGCAGTTACCTTAGCTTGTGGAAATAAACTGGTTTCACTTGCAGAGCAGCTAATTTGCTGGCCTGCATTTTGGGCTCTCAGCTGCTGAAAACAACCTGTATACGGCTTTTAAACATCAGGCTACATTTGTAAAGTTTTTTAATACAAATGTAGTTACAAGTAATAATCAACTTCCCAAATTTCAGAAATCCGCAGCACCTGACCAGCTTTGGTACCTTCAATCCAAAGCACTGACTCTCCCCTGAACAGCTAGTATAAGATAAGATGTTGTTTTGTAGTGTGCCTTCCTTTAGCTCTGCAAAGATGAAAAAGGTGAGGTGTGAATTCTGCCTCACAGGGGATTTCCATTCCAGTTTTCTGACAAACAATACAAGTCCTCCCATGAGAAAAGGCAGCAAAGCAGACGCCGTGTTTTCTAGAGTTTAACCCTAAACGATTTAGTACAGTCTTATCAGCCTGTGCTGTTTGTTTGTGGCTGTTTGACGGTGTGTGCGTTGGGTAGTGTCTGATGGCTCAGGCATTTGACAGCGATCAACTGACTGCCACGTACAGCTGTGGAGATAGCATCAGACACCATTGTCAGGTGGCTGGCTTCTTGAAAATTTTAGGGGAATTGCCTCTGGCAGCGCAGGTATTCTGGTTTAGTCATAGAGCGATTTCAGAAAAACAAAACAAATTTTCCCTGGAAGTCCCAGTCACATTATGGGATCCAGTGACTAAACAGCCAGGAGTTTTTTTTTTTTTGTTTTTTTTACTGAAATCCCCTTTCATTCGTTTTGTCTGTCTGTTTTAACCCTGTTGATTAATGTGAGACGTCACTGGGATGAGTATGATAAGTTTCAAAAGGAAAATGAGTTGGAAATTACCTTAACCTATACCCCCCGAAATCACCCAGGGATTCTCTACTGTATGTGTGATTATTCTGCCATCCAGCCTCTGATGTGGGGGCCTGCCTGCCTGCAATTACAACCCATTAGCCCCTGATTGATAGCTTCTCTGAGGGCTAATGCATCGCTATAGCAGAAAACAAGATAAAGGGAAAATGACAATAAATACATAAATGAATAAAACGCCACTTCCCATTACTCAAACCTTTGGCCTCTTTGCGTCATTTTAGTGACTAATGCAGTTTTTATCCACAGAAAGAACTAAATGACTGTATATGTGGATGATGGAGCAAGGCATGCATCCACTGAATGCCATAAAAGCACCAAGTTGTAAAAGTCTTCCTGAGAACTGCAGTGCTCGTTGGAGACACTTTGCTTATTTCGACACTCTCATTAGATTAGAGAGTTTATAGTACCCATGTCACTATGATTGATAAGGTCTGTGGTTTAACAGACAAAAATGTGTGCCCAACCGGTTGTTCCTGGTTACAACCTCATACTGCAGACATTGGTATCAGTAACCTACGCAAAGCACTCGGGCTCTGTGGAGGCTCTTTGTGTTGGAGTTGTACTCAAATACTCCGTCTCTGCTCTATCAGTCTTTACATGTGCATCACACATTAAATCCTGCCTATGTACACATCTGTTATTGCGTCCCCTTTTTCCTCAACCCCCCCACCCACGGATAGTTCTCCTTGTTGAATTAGAGCCCTCCTCTCCCCCTCCTCCTCCTCAGTCCTCTAATTTCCCCCCGCTCTCTGACTGAGTGACAGTGTGGGGCCTGGCTACTCTCCTGTCGTGAGGCCTGCATTGAATGCTGGGTTATTGCCCCCTAATTATCAATTATAGGGCTCGTCTTCCACACCTGGAGCAGGCCAGGCTGGGAATGAGCTCAGCCCATTAGGATGGACCTCCGGCTGGGCTGTTTATGGAGGGGGCTGGGCTCTACCCTCTGGAGGTGTTAATGGGCCTTCCAGGGGTATAGTCAGCAGGCTGATCCTGAGTGTCTGATAACAGAATGAGCTTCATGCTGCACTGCTGTTGGGATTTTAATGATTATTTCTAGTATAGATACATGTAATTATTTGTCATTATATACATAGTTTTTTTTCATTCCGTTTAAAAATTTGTAGATCCATTAGAGATGGATTAAAGGGGCACTCCACCAATTTTACACATTAAAGTCAATTTAATAGTCATGAGGATTACTGCACGTCCTGCAAAAACTGTTGTACAATGTTTTCTGTTGCTCTCTAATTGCTTTCTAAAGCCTAAGAAAATTACTGAAGTGACATCACTTGAGTATCTTGGCTTGGTGAGAAATTGTTAAAGAGAAAGCCTGGAAATGTGGAGTTATATGGACATTCACCAGACAAGGAGAGGGTCTAATAAATGACACTAATGAGTTATAAAAAAGTGTAGATTTCTGTGTTTTTGGACCCATATCAGGGTCTAAAAGATTCCAAATGTTTGATATTTCATTGCCATTACTTTAGAATTAATAGTGCTTTGGTGAGTTCGCATAAAACAAAAACCTCTGAACATTACAGCCACAGTGGATACATAAAACACGTAGTAAAACATAAAATGACCATATTCACACATTAAAGACTGGAATTTGTGAACATAAACACTTAAAAACTGTTGAATTAATGAATAGTAAAACAAGTGTTCCCATTGGGATCCTCTCAGCACCGTAGACCCAGCATGTGTACTGCTGTGCCATTACAGTGTCCCATGATAAATGGTCTTTGTTTTCTACTAACTCTCTCTAACTGTATCTATTGAGAATTCAACTCCGGCAGAGCATGTTAGATGAGAAATGTGGGGTCGCCACCTACTGAGACGTATTAAACAGTATGAGAGGCACGTACCTCCACAGCCAGGATTTGTAACGACATTAAAAAATCTGCTCTTTGAATTATGGCCTCATTGCTCTGTTTAAACTCTCTTCCATCTCTGTTTTATTAGACTTTGCAATGTTCAATGTCTATTCAGAAAGTGTGAGGCATTGCTAGCAAACTACAAGAGTTTTTCCTCATACTCTCACTCTTTGTGTAGCATGCCATTTGGTTGTGCTGATATATTTACAATCTGTATGAATTCCAGGTGTTTGTGCTTGAGTATTTCTATTTTATTCAGCACATACTTCTACTTGACTACACCTCAGAAGGAAATATTGTACTTTTGAACCCACTACATTTGTCAGACAGCTTTAATTACTTTTCAAATTACAATTTTTCATACCCCTCCTGTCCAGTGAAAACCATGTATCTCCAAATTTGGAGTTTTTTATTAGATTTTTTCTAATAAACTGAAGGATTAAGTGTTCCTTTATGGATTGAGAAAACCATCGTACTTCTTGCGCTCAATAAACTGTATAAAATGCCTCTTGAATTAGCTGGAATATGCATTGTCACAAAGCTGAAAACAAGGGTGTTTTTCTGAGCTCATGAAATATTTAAGTAAATTATTTGACTTTTTAAAGATATATGTGGTTCTCACAGGACAGTAACACTAGAAACACATGATGATCTTATAGAATATGATGCAATGCTGTAGATTGAAACAACAAAAGAGTTCAAATGAGCTCAACTTTAAACATCTACAGCAGTAAAATGTAATATTAATGCAGTAGTATACCACTGACAGGGACTATTTTACTGTATAATTAATAGCCTACTACTTTTTATACTTTTGACATTTTGCTGATAATACTTACAAACCTTTACTCATGGAAGGTTTTTAATGCAGGACTTTTACTCACAGTGGAGTATTTTCACAGTGTGGTATTAGTACTTTTATTTAAGTAAAGGACACTTCTTCAACCACTGATCTTTATCCTGAGTGATGAAGTATGACAGAAGACATGCACAGATCACTGCTTTCATGTCGCCTCCACTCTCTTCTTTCTATTCAAGAAGACACAAAAATAGATGTCTTTTCACCCTTGAATGCAAATAGATTGACTTGGCCTCTTATCATTACAATAGTTGCTCTTTCAAGCCTGTCTCGTTTGCGCTCTATTCAACTGTTAGCGGCGTTTAGGTGAAGGAGTCAGCTTATGGCAGCCGTGCTCTATATCATACAGGAGATTGAAATGAAAATGAGGCATTTCTCAAAATAGCTGCAGGCAGACGGGGGGTGAAGGAGGATTGAGGGTGACAGGGGTGAAGATATATGTTATGACTTTCTGTGTATTTTAGAGCTCAGGGGTTGTTTTGAGTCTTTGCCATGCTGAATGCTTCTGAGATATGTCACAGGTGTTATGATGGATTGGAGAGTGCAGTATGTGCCGCATTTACTTTGCACTTGGTTTACATTTTGAGAGAGAGAGCAGAGAGTGCGGGTGTGTGTGTGTGCTTGTAAATACAAACACACATCTGTACTATTATATGTGTGTGTGTGTGTGTGTGTTTCAGATCCCCTCCCTAGCCCCATTGATCTTCCTGCTAGTGTGTGTGTGTGTGTGTGTGTGTGTGTGTGTG